GCTTTCTTTTTTTTTCTCTACTCAAAAGTGAAATCAAAGCTTTGCATTTTATAAGTAAGTTATGTGCAACTTCCAAACCTGCTTCAACACTTAACTGCAACATATGCGCAGCACAAAAAATATTAACAATTGGGTCTGATACTGAAAGTCTTGCTGATAATCTTGTAACAGCTAATTTGACATTAGAGACATTATCTGTGGTTATACTTAATATTTTACTTCTATTTAGACCAAATTCTTCAAGCATAGGTTCGATAGTATTAATGATATCATCAGCATTTTTATACGCTCCCATTTCAATTATGCCTAATGTAAGATCATAAATGCGAAATTCATCTTAAATCCAGTGGCAGATTACACCTAGATAAGAATCATGTGCTCGAGAAGTCCATATATCAAATGTGAGAGATACTGTGTTCGTTTGTATAAGCATACTTTTAATACTTTGAGCTGTATGATTTGTTTCATTTACAATTTTATTTTTAATTGTGTTTACACATAGTGGTTTGTATCGAGGGTCAAATGAATTTAAAAAGATACGAAAATTTTTATTTTCTATTAAAGATAAGGGAAGTGTACACGAAATAAAAAATATGATAATATCCTGTGTAAGCTTTTGTTGTCTTGATGCTGAATAAGGTTTTGATAAAGTGATTTCTATAGTTTGTTGAGAGGATTTTTTAAGCTCTTCAACTGAGCTATGTTCAAGTGATGTTTTTGTAATATGATGAATATCGCGAAGGTGATTGACCATATTAGTTGTTGAACCATGCCATACATATTGAGTTTGACAACCTTCGACCTTACATTTGGCCTTAGTTATCGGTTTGTCCTCAGGTTTAATTCCAGGCTGGTCATAAAATTCAAAAAAGGTTTGAACCAACCTGTATTTATCAGAAAGTTTTACTCTTTTAACGTTATTATTATTATTATTAGAAGTTTCATTAGCTAAAGATCGCGGTGGTGATTGAAAAAAAGAAACTGAAACATCGTCATCTTGATCTAAAGTATTAGGTGTACTACTAGAAGTTGAATAAGTAGAATATTCTTGATCGTAATTATATTCATAGAGGCCAACAATCAAGGTGAAGGAAGCATTTAAGAAAAATCCAATTAAAGAAAAAAAGTAAGAAAATATTTTACTTTATATAAAAATATTCATAATTCAAGATGCTAGAGCATAAAAAAATTCAACTACATACCAAAAGGCAATAATATCA